CTTTGTGCAGTGTTTCTAGAAAGCATTTCTGAGACGTATTGGTGAATTAATTATGATCTGTTTTGTTTATATCTTTACCTTTACACCCCTGCTCCCTCACCTCCCATATCCAATTTATTATGAAGTCCTGTCAGTCTTATCACGAGAACAGATCTCAAATCTGTCAGATTCTCTTCATGCCGATGGACAGCGTGGTGTGGGCTTCCAGTGCACTTCTGTACCCTGATCTCCTCTCTTTCTGGGCACAAAGGATGGTTGCCCTTTTCTGACTCCCACTTTGCAATCAAGTTGGGCATGTGACTAGTTCTGGCCAGGCTAGAGCATTCAGACACAGGGTAAAGACCTTCCAGCAGTTTATTCTCCTGCCACAGCAATTATGGAAGCAGGTTGTTGACATGAAAGGGCCACGACATGGAAGCAGTCTGGATCCCTAAACTGCATGGAGCACAGCTGCCCTGGAAAGGCACCCAGATGTGCAGTGGGCATTTCATGAGTAAAAAACAGACTTTTGTGGGCCCGCCAGGTGGCACAAGTGGTTAAGTGTGCGCACTCCGCTTCAGCAGCCCGGGGTTCACAGGTTTGGATCTTGGACACTCACCAATGCACCGCTTGTCAAGCCATGCTGTGGCGGCGTCCCATGTAAAGTAGAGGAAGACCGGCATCGGACGTTAGCTCAGGGCTCATCTTCCTCCTGAAAAAAAAAAAAAAAAAAGAAACAGACTTTTGTTATGTACAGCCACTGCCAGTTGGTTGGTGTTAGTTATCACAACGTAGTCTCTTCTCTCCTGGCTGGTGAAATGAGTTGCCATCATCTATCTCCTGGAACCCCGCAGAAGCCTCCTAACTTGTCCACCTTTTCTGTAGCCTTGCTTCCCCTCATTTCATTTCTCTGCATAGTGAACCTCTTAGAACACACTCAGTCACATCCCTCCTCTGGTTCCCCTTGTTATTAGGATAAATTCTGAGCATGGTTAACCAGGCCTGTGTGCCCTGGTCCCCACTTACTACTCCAGACACCCTTTAGCCTTTCAGGCTTGAGCCCCACTTGCCTTCTTTCAGTTTCCCAAACATTCCAGGCTGCTCCCCATTCTGGGCCCTTTGCACATGCTTTTCCCTTTGGCTGGAATGTTCCCCCTACTTCCCAAAGTTCATCTCACTCACTTGCATCACCCTTGGGATCTCCACCTAAATGATACTGTCTCAGAGGCCCCCTCAGGATGCAGGGGTCTCCCCATTACCTTCATCCATGGCACCCACTGCTATTTGAATGACACTAATCTCAGGTCATACTTCTTTTTTAATATTTTTTTTTTAAGATTTATTTATTTATTTTCCTCCCAAAGCCCCAGTAGATGGTTGTATGTCATAGTTGCACATCCTTCCAGTTGCTGTATGTGGGACGCGGCCATGTGGCCGGAGAAGCGGTGCGTCGGTGCGCGCCCAGGATCCGAACCTGGGTCGCCAGCATCAGAGAGCGCACACTTAACCGCTAAGCCACGGGGCCGGCCCTCAGGTCATACTTCTGTATTCGTTTGTGTGATTATTTGAGAAATATCTTTCTCCCTAACCAGACCACAAGCTCTACCAGGGAAAGGGACCATGTTCTGTTTTATCCATCTCCATACCCTCAGCATCCTGTGCCTGGCCCCCAGCCCATAGTAGGTTCTCAGCATATACCTTCAGGATGATGAAATAAATGCATTAACAGCAAGTCAGAGTTGTATGCATATTTCTGAAGTCTAAGGAAAGTCATCGTTGATATTTTTTTGAGCATTTACTCTGTCAGGCAAGGTACCAAGCGCGTTACATTGTTTCCTAGGTCATGTACGTATCATGACAATAACACTAGGAGGTAAGGACCGTTATTCCACTAGCGATGCTGAACCTGATGCCTGGGGTGGTTAAATAGCACTCATGTATCCACGAGGCTCATTAGGCAGCCCAACTCCATAACCCATGTCTGAGACCTGCTTTGTGATTTGGTTTTGTTCTAACTCCAATTTTCCAGGTTCATAAAACATAACAACAGGCCCTTATATCACAGCTATTATAATAATCAAAGGCCAGGTTTATCTTGCATTCTTTATGGAGAGAACTATTGAGCTCTTGTGTCTGCATGCTTCCCACCAGAGACATCTTTTAAAAATAGTCTGTTTACATACACAATGATGAAAACTATTTGATAACTTGTTTGTTGCACATACTAACCTCAAAATGTGAAAATATAAAGTCTTCCATAGAGAGTTCTTTTCTGTTTGACTTTACAGTGTAAACTGTCTTTTTTTTTTTTTTTCATTTAGACCCGTCAGATGTGAAAATATCAATTTCCTTTTCCACGGAGAAATCCAATAATGGAATGGAAATCAGATTTCATTTGAGCACCCTGTATCAATTAAATCAGATTTTTTGTTAACAAATCTTCTAAGCTCTCATTTTAAATCTTTTTTTAAATCTCTTTCATGAAACAGCACATATCTGAATGAGAAGTCACTCCAGCTGACAGAGAGATGCAAAAATCTGCAAAATGGCTTTGAGACCTTATCTAACAAAACGAGGAAAGGGTGAGTTCCGCTCTTCACATTTAATTTAATTTTAAAATAAGTGGTTTATATTCAAAATGTTTCACAGCATCTTTAAATCTTCTGGAAACTGAGACTGTGTTCCTGCTTGGGCCTGACTTTGGGCTCAGAGAAGCTCTCGTGGATGAGGAGGATGGACGAGGGGTGAACAGTGCAGACCCTGCCAGTGGGGACTCAGTTTATCTGTCCTTGGATCCACATTCACTAAAAACAACATGTAGTTTTACTGCCTAAACTTTTACGGGTCCTCAGTCGTTTTGAGAAACCCATGAGCATTCTGGACGCTAGCCTAGAAAAATGCACACTTGAATTGAATCTCTTACAATCCCAGAAGATTAACAGATTTACCCCCAGTCCCAGCTGTGGTTCACTCTCAACTTCACCACACTTGCTTACAATCCTGGATTTTAGAGAGTTCCTGACACTGTCTTCTTCAAATTGAGAAAAGGGTCTAAAAGCTCCGAGCTTCGTACATGGATGAGCCACTGGTGGCCTAAGAGTCTGATGGGGGAGGCATTGCCTTGACTGTATCTGGAAGGAGCAGAGTCTGGAGATAGTGCTGGAGGAAGGATAGGAAGGGTGTGCGAGTGAGGCGCGACCCGTGGTTACACTGTCCTCTCCCTCAAAGGAACTAATCTGAGTTGCATTTCGCTGTGCGCTTGCCTGAGAAAGTTGAAGACTGTCCAGGGTAAGTAGTATATCAGATTCCCTTATGCCAGTTTTATGCGAGGGAGACCCAGTGGCTTTTCCTCTGCCGTATTTTTCTCTTTCTCTTCCTACTAATTAATCCAGCTCTTTCTCTCTTCCCTTCTCCCCCTCCCCTTCTCTCTCCCTTTCCTCCCCCTCTGCCTCCCCCCCACCCACAAACACACGCATGAACACACATAGGTCTTCCACTTTTAATTTTAAAAATAGTGTGTGGGAAGAAGGAGTTAGCGCAGCTGCCTGTGATCCATTTACTCCCTTCCCTGGGGGTGTGAGAGGTTGACCTGGGGGAAAAGAAACCAAGATAGGTAACCTGGTTTAATCTCCTTTCAGTTGGACCTCTCCGTAACAGACTAATGATATTTGCTAGGAAGAAGAGACCTTATCCGTTGACTGTCCCCAGCGGGCTGCTCCCTGGCGAAAGTATTACTTACAGTAAATGGGACACAGGATCCATGAGGCAGGTCATCCTGGAGAATGGCACACAGGCGGTCCGACTGGGTATAAAGGGGAATGTTTCATAGTTTAAATGTTCCTGCTGTGTAAGGAAACCCACGGACCTCACTTAGAGCCCTCGCCTACTATTCTGAGCCATGAGTGCATGTCCGGTGTGGGAAGATAGGACCAGGGCGGCCACCCTTAATGTCCCAGGCTTCTCTCTGCTTTGTCTGAGCCTCATGACTGCCTGGATCCTTGAAATTATGAGGAAAGCCTGATACTGGGTAAGATCTCTGAATTGAGTTAGTCTGGTTTGACAATCCAATCCTGTATGTTAGCTCAGTTTATTACAAAAGGATAGCCCTGTTAAAATTTTTGCTTTCTTTTCCTTAAATTCCAGCTGATGGGCCCTAAGCTTCCTAGAGAAACCCACTGGGCTGTGTATCTTCCATTTGCTGTACCTGATCCCCTTCTTTCCCTTCACTACAGGTTAGTCTGTGTCTTTCTTTGCCCTGGGAGGCCAACCTACAAGGACTTCATCAATAGGGTCCTCGCTCCTTTGTCATCTAGTTTTCTTGGGATTTGACCCAGAGGGGAGTACTAGAAAGAGATCAGAAAGAAGGAGGAAGGAACAGATTTCTTCTTGTGGTGTTGCTGCAGGTTAACTACATCCTTGCCCAAAGGAACGTGTTGCATCCTGAATGAAGGTCATGATGTTTGTTAGGTCTCTCTCTCTCTCCATTCCCTCCACTGGACCCTTCAGCTTAGAGATAAGCTGTTAATAGTCCCCTGATATTGTACTTAGATTTCCCTACATCTGGCTTAGGATTTGGGCAAAGTCCCTTCTTTAAGCTCTTCTTAAATGACACAATTGGAGCCGGCCGCCATTCCTGCCAGGACCCTCACTTACCATAGTTTAGCTAGAATGAACACTTGCAAGTACTCCTTTGCTTGCATGATAAATTCATTGAACTGTGGGGTAGACGTAAGGTAGTTCATGCCCTGTAGGTGGCGCTACACATCTGTTTGGATCACGTTGGAGCCTTTGTTTTGTTTGTTGTTTGTTGGGTGTGTGGGTGTTATAGACTCTATCTGAAACTTTTCCTAAGGGACTCGAATTCCAAACCTCTTGCAGTGCCCTCCATGCATCAGACATAGGGCACATGACACATGAAAAGTAGAACTTGGAAAAACTGGTCTTCGCCCCACCGTACCCTGCAATGAGCTGCTTGTACTCCAGACGTGTAAATCAGTGTGTGACAGTGGCCTTTGACTCTCTTCAGCTCTCCCTCTGACATGAACTATTTTTGCTCCACAAAGTGACAGAAATCCTCAATATAAGTATGATCCAAAGCTGTACATTGATGCAGAGCGCTTGAGTCAGCGTAGCGGAAAATTCTTTAATCATGGAAGGTGTTTTTTGTCAAGGCAGAAAATTTTACAACTCTTCTATGTGCATCAACAAAAATGGTTAACTGTACTATGCTAATGAGAATGGCTGTGCGCACCGTCTCATGTTCGGTCTCTCACTTTTCTTCTCTTGTTCTACATTCAATGCTAAGACCTTTTCTCCGCTATTCTTTAGGGGGATGCCTTCCCATGACGCACACAATTTTCAGCTAGCTCATGTAATTAGCCTGCACTGGTATTCTGCTCAGCAAAGGTCTAGAGAGAGCAGGCGTGAATTGCCCGTATGAAAGTGTTATTTTGCACACAGGAGACTAATTTTTCCATTTGTATTGTCTATTGTCGGGAATTGTGTGTTCTGCGACCAGTGCTATGACGGACTCCCAGGGGACAATCAGGAAAGCCATTCAGTGTGTGGTGATAAAAAGTAATTTCATTTTCTTAGAAATAATTATTTAGCTCTATTTTTGTCATGGTCTGTTAAAGACTTAGAATTTTCTCTTTCTTCAGCCAATTTGTCCCTTTCAGGTTGCTAAAATAGAATTTAGGAAGACAGAGTTATAGTAGGAGAGAGACAGTGCTTTTTTTCTCCACTGGTCTTCACTACATATTCGAATGAAAGAAAATTAAACAGTTGTCATTTGGAGGTCCAGCGGGATAAGGCACTGTGTATTACAATTCTGTATTCTCTGTTTAAGACTCGGAGCTCCAAGGAGTTTGTTCATCATTCTGTGCCTGATGCCTATTACAGGTTTCAGCACATAGAAGTTTCTCAGTAAATATCTGTTGAATCCACAGATGAATGAAAGAATGTATTTCTTAGGTCGTCAAAGCATGGTCTTTACCATCTTTAATTTCTAGCTCTTAAAAAATTATCCATAAATCCATGAACTTCAACTCCTTTTTGAAACCGATATTTAACTTCTCTGACTCTTTCTCTTACTTTGAATCTGCAGTTTTCTCTGACCTCATCCTTTTCCCCTGAATGTTTCTCTGGGTTTCTCCAGCCCAATCCTTCTCACCTGGTTATCTCCCAGAGGAAATATTACACTGTACTGAAAATGCTCCGTAGCCATCTTATCACTGTTAGTTTGCTCATTTTTCAGCATGGCAAAGGTTATTTGTAATATTTTCTGCTTATGTTTTTAGAAAAATGATGATCGTGTGGATATACAAGCTGTCTGTCTTATTTCACATTGCTTCAGATGAATGAACTGATTTTTTTAAGAGCAGATCCTTCTGAGGGGCTGACCTAGGAAACGAACTTATGTCTCCTCTCCTAGGATTTTCTGCCTCTGTTGCTATGCCATTTTCTTCATCTTCCATTTTTCCGGATGATCCTAGATCCCAAGAAAGTGTACATTTATATTTTGTTCAGTTTCTACCATTTGGCCAGGGCAGATGATCCCCTCCAGCAAAATCTCGCAAAGCGCAATGTCATAAAACAATATTTTATTCTCTGTCATGCAATGTTCAATATCAGTATTTCTTCTTGCTTAGGCAACTCTCCTCTGAGTATTGACTCAGGGATTCTGGCTCCCTCCATCTTACAATGTAGCCATCTTCAACAGATGATCCCAGGCTTGCTGCTGAAGAAGATACAATGGAGGAAGTGCACACAGCTTGAAGGGGACACATATCGCTTCCACGCACATCCTATGGGCTGGAACTGGCCCAGCTGGATGTTTAGGGTCATGTGACTGGTTTTGGCCAATAGCATGTGAGTGGAGTTGGTGTGTGGTTGACCTCTGGGAATGTAGTGCCTGGCTGGGAAGCTCCTTGCAGCAACAACTGTAGGCTATGGAAAGGAAGCACCAATCAGTGGTGGTCAATGTGATATTCCTGCCATATATATATTAAATAGCTCTACTATTCTCATCATTCTATTGACTATAGGCCCCTAGGATTTTCCTTAAAGGTGGAAGAAAACATTTTTTTAAACAACAGCAATCTCTTACATCTTTTGAGCATATGAGTAGTTTAAATAGTATTTGTAGTGACAGGAGAGATTTAGAGATCTTCTTCTCAGGAACAGAGTGTAAGCCACTGCCCTATAACTTCCTGTGCAACCACTAAGGCATGAAAGATTCACTTGCATTCAGATAGCTTTTTTTGGTAAGATCCAAATTCTCAGAATTAAGATTTGGAACACTGTTTTGCATAGGCTAGGTGTAGCTTGAACCATACACTACTTGGTGAGTGTGTATGTTTGATGAGCTATTTCATGCAATACTATTTAGAATTACTGAGAACAATAGAACTTTCTGAAAGGTATCATCTTAAGGGGTCACCATAAAGATGCTAGTTAGAAAGCACCATTTTTCAGGATGAAAGGCAAAGTGAACTGAAGACTGACCCTAAATGTTCTTCACTATTTATTTTCTTGGAGAGTACAGCATGACCTGAATTGCGGCTTGAAAAGAAGAGGTATA